ACAGACAACAATAAAGAGAGCAAGATTTTCTTCTATTATTTAGTTGATCTAACTGGAAAAGAATGAACACTGCCTCGTTTCAGTACAGCAGGGTTGGTGTGTCTCGGAAAACCTGAGTACTAACTATGTTTTTCTCTTTATTTTCATTTACTGTGACACTCTAATACTATGTTGTGTGGCAACTAACAGCTAGATCCTTACATGAGAACTGACTTTCCAAAAACGTCCCCCATGGTAATTTGCTTTAATAAAACAATCTCTATTGACATACTGTTGCATACAAATTGTGTGGTTTGTACAATAGTGCCAAATCGAGTTAAACAGACTTTCATATAAACAAGTCATGGGGATCCCTCAGGAGTAATATGAGGAATATGAGGAATTTGTAGGGGAAAGGGACGTCTGGGCTGCTCCTCTGGCTGTTGCCACAGTGCCCCTGACCTGATAAGCAGCTTGAAAACAGAGGCATGGATGGAGGATTACAATCCTGTTTACATACATTTCCAACATAACCTGGTTCCACTAAATTGTGTACGGTCTTCCTGTGGAAAAATACATTATAATAGCCACCACAACTTACACTAAAGATGTATGAAACAAGTTTTACAAGACCCTTAAGAGGTGGCAGAGAACTGGTGAAATGGCTCCTTTTTTTTTTGCACACAATTACAAATTTAACGACCTGTGGGATGTCTGAAAAACAATTATTTACATTAGTTTAGTGCCTCCTTTGAAACTGAGATTCCTAATAGTTGTACAACAGCAAAATCCTTCCTTATTAGGTGGGACAACAAGGGAATTCAGAAAACTGACCTTGAGTGCCTTGAAGGTCTCCATGAACTTGTCCAGCTCCTCAGGAGGCAGGAAGTCACCAATAAAGTGTTTCCCTTTACCCATTTCTGTCAGAGATTCTGCCCATTCTGGAAAAATACAGACATTTTTTTAAGAGTTGATTACTTTACCTTGACAAGAACTGATTATCAATCACCAACAGAGTTAGTTACAGAAGCAAGAAAATTGTTCTATACTGATGATCAGCCTTACCGCGGGTCTTCTCCATTTCCATCTGTCTGAAACGATGCTCCCAGGTGCCTGCATCCTGGTCCACTTCTTCATCGCTGTCGTATTCCTGTTGGTGGTCTCTTATGGCCTTATCCCACATCACCTGCATCTCTGCCATTGCACGCTTGTGCTTCATGATCATGTCATACATCTCTTGCATCTATAGAGCATGTGAGAAAACATCACACATGCACACAGTGAGTGATGCACACACACTCATATCAGTTCACAGGGCCCAATAATCCTTATTCGATGGTGTGACAAAAGGTGGTGGGTGGAGTTTAGTTATAGTTAAAAGATCAGCGGTGTAATTTTCACTAAATAAATACATTTAGTTGATGTTTTCATACCTCTTGTTGTTCTTTGATTTGTTTCTTTTGGTCCTCAGATAGTTCTGTCACTCCTACCAGACCAAGAGGCTTCCCCTTCTTATAACCGAGACCTCTCAGCTCCTGGGCTGAAACAGACATCACCACATCTTATATATTCATAAATCAATTATTG